TGCTAGTTGGGGTTTAGTCCACTTCTATATCCTTCCCTTCAAGGCTCAGGGGTCCAGGATTATCTTCTGTGTCTGTGTTAATTGGTTTCCCTTTTCTGTGTTGAAGAGGGTCTGTGCAGTCTTTCTGCCTAGTCCACCATCTTGCTGGAACTTCCTCCCAGGTGGTTCTTAAAGATCCTCAGGTAATTCTCATAGACATCCTAGTGGGTATGAGTGGTATCTCATTGTGGTTTGATTTGCATTTCACTAATGACTAATGAAAGGAGATCTGGTGGCATAGTGTCTAAAGTATTTGACTGCTAACCAGAAGGTTGGTGGTTGAAATGCACCAGCCACTCTGTGGAAGGAAGACTGGGCAATCTACTTCTGTGAGATTTACTACCTTGGAAACCCAAAGGGGATCACAAGTGAGTCAGAATCAACTTTATGTCTGTGATTTGGTTTTGGTTTTTAATGTCCTATGGTGTTGAGTATCCATTCATGTGCTTATTACCCATTTGTATATCTTTAGAGAAATGTCTGTCCAAGTTCTTTGCTCATTTTATACTGGATTGTCTTTTTTGTCCTTGAGCTTTATGTGTCTGTTATATATTCTGGATACTAGACTTTTATCTGATATATGATTTGTAAGTATTTTTGCCATTCTGTAGGATTTTTTTTTTTTTTTTACACTCAGGATTTCTTTGAATGCACAAAACTTTTAAATTTTGATTAAGTTCAATTACTCTAGTTTTTCTTTTGTTGCTTGTGTTTCTGGTGAAATATCTAGGAAATCATTGCCAATCCAAGATCTTTAAGATTTATTCTTATATGTTTTTATAACAATTGTATTATTTTAGTCCTTAAATGTATACCCTTGATCCATTTTGAGTTAATTTTTGTATATGATATGTGAGGTAATGGTCCAACTTCATTCTTTTGTATAGGATATTCAGTTTTCCCAGCACTAGTTGTTGAAGAGATTGTTTTCCTTACTTCACATCTTATGGTCTTTGCATCTTTGTCAAAAAACAATTGGACAAAGGTATATAGGTTTATTTGTGGACTCTGAATTCTATTCCATTAATCTACACAGCTATTATTATGTCACATTTGATTTGTTTGCTGTAGTTTTATAGAAAGTTATGAAATTGGGAAATGTGAGTCCTCCAACTTTGTTCTTTTTCAATATTGTTTTGGCTACGTAAGATCTCTTACAATTCCATATGAATTTAGGATTGATTTTTCTGTTTCTGCAATAAAGGACAGTAGGATGGTGATAATGATTGCCTAAATCTGTTGATCATTTGGGGGAATGTTGCCATCTTAACAATATTGAATATTCTGTTCCATGAACATCTTTCAATTTTAAGGTCTTCTTTAATATTTTTCAGCAATATTTTGTGGTTTTTGAAATATAAGTCTTGAACTTCTTTGGCTGAATTAATTCCTATGTATTTTATTCATTTTGATACTATTATAAATGAAATTGTTTTCTTAATTTCCTTTTCAGATTTTTCATTGCATGTATAGGACTATAACTGATTTTTGTGTTTTGATCTTGTATCCTGCAACTTTACTGAATTCATTTGTGTGTGTGTGTGTGTGTGTATGGACTCTTTATATTTTACATTAATATTATATCATTTGATAATAGAGATAGTTTTACTTCTTCCTTTTCAATTTGGACACATTTTATTTGTTTTTCTTGCCTAAATGCTCTGGCCAGAACTTACAGTACAATGTTGAATAGAAATGATGAAAGTGAGCGTCATTGCTCCTGTGCTTAGGGAGAAAAGTTTTACTCTTCCGTGATTTAATAGGATATTAGCTGTCTTTTTCATATATGGCTTTTATCATGTTGAGGAAGTTCCCTTATATTTCTAGTTTGTTGAAGATTTTTTATTATGAAGGGAAATTGAATTTTGTCAAATTCTTTTTCTTTGTCAATTCAGGTGATCCTGTAGGGTTGTCCACCATTCTATTAATGTAATATACTACAATGATTATTGCCTAAGGCACTTGACTGCTAACCAGAAGGCTGGCGGTTCAAACCCACCAGTCACTCCTTGGAAGCAAGGTTGGGCAATCTACTTCAGTAGTGATTCTGCCTCAGATACCCAAGGAGGGGTCGCTATGATTGGGTCTGACTCAACGGCACATAACAACAACGATTATTGTTCATATGTTGAACCACCTTTGGATTCATTAGATAAATCCAACTTGATCAGGATGTATAATCATTTTAATATCCTGCCTAAAGTTTTCCATTAGTATTTTGTTGAGAATTTTTATATCTATATTGGTTTGTAGTTTTCTATGCTTGTGATGTCTTTATATGACTGTGGTATCAGGCTAATGCTGGCCTCATAGAATTAGTTAAGTATTACCTCATCTTCTACTTCTTGAAAGACTTTGAGAAAAATTGGTGTTAATTCTCCTGTTTAAATGTTTAGTGGAATTAATCAGTAAGGTCATCTGGTCTTGGGCTTTTCTTTGTTGTTGTTGTTGTTGTTATGTGCCGTCAAGTTGGACCTGACTCATAGCGACCCCTCCTTGGGTTTCCGAGGCAGTATCACTACGAAGTAGATTGCCCCATCTTCCTTCCGAGGAGTGGCTGGTGGGTTTGAACTGCCAGCCTTCTGGTTAGCAGTCAAGTGCCTTAGGCACTAAGCTACCAGAGCTCCTTTGCTGGGGGATTTTTGCTACCGATTCAATCTCTTAGTTTGTTATAAGTCTACCCAAATTTTCTATTACTTCTTGTGCTCATGATGGTAGTTTGTGTGCTTCTGGGAATTGCCTCTCTCTCTAGGTAATCTAATTTGTCTTTGTATAATTATTCATAGTATTCTTTTAAAACCCTCCTATTTCTCTGAGATGGAGAGTCATATCCCCTCTTTCATTTCTGATTTTAGTAATTTGAGTTTTCCTTCTCTCTTTGTTTCTAAATCAATTAGCTAAAGGTTTGTCAACTTTGTTAATCTTTTCAAAGAACTAACTTGTTTGCTAATTTTTCTATATTCCTTTTCTGTTTTCTATTCATCTTTAATCATTATTATTTCCTTTCTCTGATGTGTTTGGGCTTAATTTGCTCTTCTTTTTCTGGTCCCTTAAGGTATACTTGACAGCACATAACAATAACAACAACAAGGTATAGTTATTTATTTGAGATCTTTCCACTTTTTTGACATAGGTATTTATACCTATAAATTTCCTTATGAGCACTGCTTTTGTTGTATCCTCTAAGGTTTGGTATGTTGTATTTTCACTTCAAAATATTTTCTAATTTCCTTTGTGATTTCCTCTTTGACCCATTGGTTATTTGTGAGTGCATTAAATAATTTTCACATATTTGTTAATTTTCCAGTTTTTCTTCTGCTATTTATTTTTTGTTTCATTCCATTGTGGTTGGAGAAGATACTTCGTATGATTTCAGTCTTTTAAAATGTTTGAGAATTGTTTTGTAGCCTAACATATGCTCTGTCCTGGCGCATAATGCAGGAGAGAAAAACTCAAGTGGATTTTTGAAGAGTGGATGCCATTAAGATCCCTTCTTACCTTTAGACTCTGACTCTGAGCCGGAAATATTTTACAGGCACATTTCATGCAAGCTTTTGTAGGAAATGATTCTCATATAAACAACTTCCTCTTCTAAATAGTCATATATGTTTCCTCCTCAATTTTCACTTCTTAATTCATTTCCTACTTAAGGAGTGAACAGAAAACACTGGTCTGATTTTCTTAGATTGGTAAAACCAAGGGTCCATATCTTGCCTTTCCTTATTCATTCCTCTTCAATTTCCTCAGACAAATTCAAGAGGTGAAATCTGTGGAATATCTCAAAAGAACAGGCCCCAACATAGCTTTATATGACTGTTTGTAAGGAAAGTAGAGCTTAAAAATGCAACCAGGGAGTCTCCAAATTTTCATTTTCCATTTAAGCCCTGTTGTTGTTGTTAAGTATTGTCGAGCCATCTCCAACTCATAGCAACCTTATGTACAACAGAACAAAACTGCTCGGTCCTGTGCCAGCCTCACAATCCCTGCTATACCTGAGCCCATTGTTGCAGCCACTGTGTCAATCCATCTTGTTGAGGGTCTTCCCCTTTTCCATCAACCCTCCACTTTACCAAGCATAACATCTTTCTCCAGAGAATAGCCCCTTCTGACAACATGACCAAAGTAGGTGCGACCAAGTCTGACCATTCTTGCCTCCAAGGAACATTCTGGCTGCACTTCCTCCAGGATATATTTGTTAGTTCTTTCAGCAGTCCATGGTACTCTCAATGTTCTTTGCCAATACAGCAACTGAAAAGCATCAACTCTTCTTCGTCTTCCTTGTTCATTGTCCAGCTCTCACATGCATATGAGGCAATTGAAAATACCATGGCTTGGGTCAGGCGCACCTTAGTCCTCAAAGAGGCATCTTTGCCCTTCAGCACTTGAAAGAGGTCTTTTGCGGCAGATTCGCCCAGTGCAATATGTCTTCTCATGTCTTGACTGCTGCTTCCATTGTTGTTAATTGTAGAACCAAGTAACATGACATCTTTGACACTTCAATCTTTTCTCCATTTATCATGATGCTGCTTATAGCTCCAGTTGTGAGGATTTTTGTTTCTAAAAAGAAAGTCATACTCTTTTTCCCACTTCTATTCCCAATAGCCTTATAACTGTAGGTTCTAAAGTTAGAGAGCATTTACAAGCTTCTTTATTCTTGGGTTCTGCCTTCTTTAGCCTCATCTGGAGACTAAGGGACTAAGAACAACCTGCACTATGGTATTTATAGTACATCCAAAACATATAAAAACATATAGAATTTTTAACTCGTGACTTTCATCTAATGTGTGTTTTTCTCTTTTGCTCCACTTTACAGATTCGAAAGATACCATTAACCTCAAGATCCTTACATCCTGGCTTGGTAAGTGTCTCTGCTGGATCATTCCCATCTAAGCCTAGGGGGAGGAGACCTTCCTAATAGACAATCAATATTCCTGTAGCCCTCCTCACCACCACCAACACTCACCTTTGCTTCAGAAGCCTGAGATCAATCTTGCATTGTCTTCCTTAGCTTCTTCTCTTATACTGTTTTTTTGAGAAGTTTTTTTTGAGACTTTTAATTGCTACTGTAAATGTGGTCAAGAGCTAGGGAATACCAAGTGGTCTTGGGATTGCAGGTTCTGTCAACTTTCTCCAACAACTAATGACCCTACCCTCAAGTAGTACATTCACAAGGATTCCTGAAAGAGAGGGAGGGTCTCTCAACCTGGTGATATGGGCCTTCCTAATAGTGGCCTTGGGAGAGGCTGCCTTTGTAAAATATCATGAGATTCTTCTTTCTCCTCCCATTCCCTGTGTTCCTTCCATTTCTTAGCCTGCCTGCTTTTGCAGCTGAGAAAGTCCCACCAGAGACTCCAGAACATGGAGATTATCTCCAAACCATGGGATCAGGCATGTGGTGGCATCTTGTTTCCCTCTCGCAACACAGTCTGCCTGACATAGCTATTTAAAATATCATTCACCACAAATTTCATTTTCCGTTTTCTACAACATAATTTTCTCTATAAAATCTTGCCCTTAAAGAACCTGCTCCCCTAAATTAAGTTTTCATGAACTTAGTGGAGCTCTGTTTCCCCATTAGCCCAGCAGGAATGAGAAAGAGAAAGATCTTTAAGCCTGTACCCTTGATTCTCAGCCTGAAGAAAAGCATGAAGGTTATGGAAAGAGAGCAAAGCCTCTGGTACAGTCTGGAGCTTTGAGTCAATTTAAGGCTTTGTATTAAATAAATATTGTGACAGTACTTTTCTAGGTGTGAACCAGAACTTGCTGGGATACTTGCTATAAATTAAGGGTCCTTGCTTCTACTCCCAGTCCTTGGAACTGATGGTGCTGAGGGATTGGGCTCAGGAATCTTCCTTTAATGAACATCTCAGGGAATTCTGATGTGTGCTGAATCTGAATACTACTCAAGTAGAGGCTGATGAGGGGCATTGGTGATATAATTCTCACACTCCACATAGGACACTCCAGCTTAATTCCCAGTCTTTGAGCCTCATTCTTAGCCACAACCTGTGTGTCAGTTGAGGCTTGCATGTTGCTGTGATGCTGAATAGGTTTCAGCATAGCTCCCAGACTAAAATGGACTAGGAAGAAAGACCTGAAAATGTACTTTCAAAATTCAGTAATGAAAATCTATTGGATCACAGAGTTCCAATCCACAATTGATCACATAAATGGTGCAAGATCCAACAGTATTTCACTTTGTTCTATATGGGTCACCATAAGTGGGGGTAGGGGAGGTGTGCAGAACATGTAGGGGGCAACTGAAAACAGCTAACAACAGCAGCAGCTGATGACTTTGTCTATCTAAAGAGATGAGCTTCTTATTGAATTCCATTAAATAAACTGATGTTCTGGTTTGGACTTAATTCCCAAACTGTTAGACCTACTCTTGCTCATTTACTCCTTCATAGCTCTGTCCAATTTGACTTCTTCTCTCCAGTGTTATATACAGGAGAATGCTACCTGCACTCCCAGCAACCTGCAAGCCTCACATCCTGGGGCAGTGATCTGAGTATTTAATTCTTTCATTTCATAAGGTCGAGGACTGGTGAGCCTAGAAGGTTCCACGTGGTCATATCACCGCCAGATGGTGAAACCTGGCTTCCACGGCAGCATTCTGAAAATTTATGTCACCATTATGTCTGAGAGTGTAAGAGTGATGCTGGTAAGAAGAAGGGAGAACATTTTTCCAAGGCCTCCGGATTGAGGTGTAATCTGCATAGAGGTGCAGGAGACCCCAAGTTCCCACTGAACTGTATTCATGTTAGTTTGTATTGGGTTTATGATCTTTGGGCCATGAGTATCATGAAGGCAAGGACTGTATCTTAACTGTGTTTATATTCCCAGCATCTGTCATAGGGCAGGGGTTCAGATAGCTACTCTGTGAGGATTAGTTGAATGAATGAGTGACTGGGTCTAGTAGACTTATTGCATTTGGAAAACATAAGGCACAAGAAAAAAAATAATTGAGTCTTATGTTTTAGACAGCAAAAGGAGTCAGAATCCCTCTAGAGAGGAAAGCCCTATGCTCAAGAACAATGAAGAAAGATTTTCTAAGGAAGGTGACTAGAACTGGATCTTAGAGAAAGGATAGGATTTATAGAGGCAAAGCATCATAAAGTACAGCACTGTGATCAAGCGAGAGGAGAAGCCTTAGCTTTGGTAGAAGCAGAAGAAAGTGTGAGAAAGACATGGTTGTAAGATTACAAATCTCTCCTCTTGGAGTCTGGATGCCATAGGTATGTCAGGCAAGCCTGAGAATGTCATGATCTGTTTCAGAAGTCTGAATGAGATGATTATGAAAGCTCAAAAATAAATCTCCTAGAATCAAGTTGTAAATGTCCCAGATGGCCCAGAATAGCAACCAAAGCTCATATCCTTTGAGGGGAAAAACATCTTGTGATTTCAGCAAGGTGAGTTCAGTGACCTGTAGACAAGTCTTTTGGGGAACTAAAGGAGAGTGAAGTTTTCCAACTTTCATCAGATTTTAAATAAGGACGTGGAACAAGGAATATCATAGCTGCTGTCAGATGGATCTTGGCCCAAGGCGAAGAATACCAGAAAGGTGTTTACTTGTGTTTTATTGACTGTGCAAAAGCATTTGATTGTGTGGATCATGACAAATTATGGATAACACTGAGAAGAATGGGAATTCCCGAACACTTGATTGTACTCATGAGGAACCTGTACATTGACCAGGAGGCTGTTGTTCAAACAGAACAAGGGGACACTGCATGGTTTAAAATCAAGATGGGAGTGTGTGAGGGTTGTATCCTTTCCCCATATTTATTCAATCTGTATGCTGAGCAAATAATCTGAGAATCTGGACTATATGAAGAAAAACGTGGCATCAGGGTTGGAGGAATAATCATTAACAACCTGAGATACACTGACGATACAACATTGCTTGCTGAAAGTGAGGATGACTTGAGGCACTTACTGATGAAGATTGAAGAATATAGTATAAAAAAATCCTCACAACTGGACCAATAAGCAGCATCACGATGAATGGAGAAAAGATTGAGGTTGTCAAAGAATTCACGTTGCTTTGTTCTACAATCTACACCAATGGAAGCAGCAGTCAGGACATTAGATGACTTGTAGCACTGGGCAGGTCAGCCACGAAGGAGCTCTTTCAAGTGCTGAGGAGCAAGGATGTCTCCTGAGGACTAAGGTGCACCTGACACAAGCCATGATATTTTCAATCACCTCGTATGCATGTGAGAGTTGGACAATGAATAAGGAGAACCGAAGAAGAGTTGATGCTTTTGAGTTGTGGTGCTGGCGAAAAATGCTGAAAGTACCATGGACTGCTAAAAGAACTAACAGATCTGCACTGGAGGAAGTGCAGCTGAAATGTTCCTTGGAGGTGAGAATGGCCAGACTCTGTCTCACCTACTTTGGTCATGTTGTCAGAAGAGATCATTCCCTGGAGAAGGATGTCATGCTTGGTAAGGTGGAGGGTCAACGAAAGAGGGGAAGGCCTTCAACAAGATGGATTGACACTGTGGCTGCGACAATGGGCTCAAGTATATCAAGGATCATGGAGCTGGAGCGGGATCGGGCAGTGTTTCGTTCTGCTGTACATGGCGTCGCTATGACTCAGAAGCGACTCAATGGCACCTAACAACAATGACATTGTGCAAACATTGAGAAAATAACAATAATGTACTTTATTGATCCCCCATCATCACATGCCAAGTACTGGGTGAAGCAATTCCAGTCATGATTTCACAAATAATTGTTAATTAAACAGGGTCTCAGAGACATGGAACCACCCAACCAAGACATCTTTTGTTGCATGACAGAGCTTAGATTTAAATCAGTTCTGACTGGCCCTGTACTTTTCAGTACACCACACTGCTATCATTCTGACACTGTCACTGTGCCCACCTCATATTCTAAAATAAAAATCAAAGCATAATATACAGACATAGTGGTAGTATCCACCTTATTAAGCATTTACTATGTGCTGGGCATATTATATCCTTTAATGTTAACCGCAATTGTACAACTCGGGTTATATCCCCATTTTGCTGGCAAAGAAATTGAGATTTAGAGATTAAGCTGTTTGTTCAAGGTGACAAGCCAAGAGGCACAGTTCAAACTCAAACCTCCTTCAGTTGGAAGAGCATGCTCTTGACACAACACATTATATATTTTGCTTCCAGTCTTGGATCTCCCTTCATGTCCTTATAGTGCTCCCTCCAGTCCAATGAAACCACTGCTTCTCTTTGCATTGCCCTTATCAACACACACAGACACCTCTCCTATTATTACCTGCTTTCTGCTCTTTCTCTCCTCCTCTTGGCTCCATGACAATTGCATTCTTTCAAAACTTCTGATTTTAGTAATATGTTTGGAGAAAGCTTTCAAATTGAACTAATTCACATTGAAGAGTTGATGAGAGCTTCTAAACATTCTAAAAACATTTATATTACAATACAGATCTTGATATTAATAAATACCCAGGTTTTAACAAAATGAAGTTTTCTTGGGTGAGGACTGAGTGGTGGTCAAGTGCATCCAAGGAATAAATACAGTAGATCCTACTGCACAATTAATGGTTTTATAGTATTGTCTGTTGACACTCTTTGAAGGCTGGAACTGTATTTAATTTCTCTTTAAATTCTCATGGAATCTGTGCAAAATTTGGCAAGTGCTAAATATGTTTGAGTTCTAGAATCCAAAACCTAAGTTCATTCATAATCCTCATAGATTTTTAAAAATCTTATTTCTTTATTCTATGTTTTATTAACTTCTATTTTTTTCATTATAAGAATTATATAAACCATAGTACAAAAAAAAATGGTGAAAAAATATGTAATTAAATAATAATTCCCGCACTCTAACAAAGTCACAAATAGCATTTGAGGCACAGTATTCACTTCCAGTTCTTCCAGGTTGTTTTGCTTTATATGGTTGTAGTGATACTGTGAATTCATTTCGTAAATTTTCCCTCTATTTCTGAGCCCAAAAAGCTCTGAAAAGAATACGAAAGAGCTTGGTCATTAGGAACAAATGGATATATATGCAATCATGATCTTTATATCCCCTGCCCCAGAACAAATGGGAGAAGCTCATTACCCAGGACCCACATCTAGAACTCTGGGAAGACATTTCCTTGATGGCTCTGGACTGCATCATGAAGTGTGCCTTCAGCCAACAGGGCAGTGTCCAAACAGACAGGTCAGTGACAAAAAGAAGATATTATTCACTAATAACCATGTCATCTACTAACGTGATATCCGGTCTCTCTCTTTCAGCACTTTTAAATCCTACCTAGAAGCAGTAACCAACCTAGGCAATCTCACCTATTATCGGTTATACAATGTCCTGCATTACAATGACCTGATTTACAAATTTAGCTCTCAAGCCCACCTCTTCTATAAATATCGCGAAGTGACTCATCAGCACATAGGTTAGTCCTGAACTTTGAATTTTCTGAATCCTCTGTAAGACAGCTCATTGTCTCAAACATAATCTCTGGTTTGGTTGCTTCTGTTGTGGATGTATAAGGAGATCTGGTGGCATAGTGGGTAAGGTATTTGGCTGCTAATCAGAAGGTCGGTGGTTTAAACCCACCAGCTGCACTGTGGGAGAAAGATGAGGCAATTTACTTCTGCAAAGATGTACAGCCTTGGAAACCCAATGGGGGTCACTATGAGTTGGAATCAATTTGATGGCAGTGGATTTGGTTTTTTGGTTTTGGTTGTGGATATATGGCCTGGCCATCATTCAAAAACTCTGATTTGTACCCATTAAAATAAGGTGCTACATAAATCCTAGGAAGAGAGTAATGCATTGTTGGGGTATGTATTTGTATCATAATGTTTGGAGTTGAAACTAATTGAATAAGCATAATACCCCTATATGTTGCTTCATTTTTTATGCAGAAGCTTCAACTGTTAAGAAAAACAAAAGTGAAAGAAAGGAAGGTATTTCTGTAGGTAGACAAAAGAGGACATCTGAAAAGGTACAAGGCATGTGTGGATGGTGCATACTATGCATAGTTTATCGAATAATGTAACACACCTCTGAGGACTCCCTTTGTACAAGTTTTGGGGATGGGACATAGATATCTTAGGGAGCTCCTACTTCTGCCACCACAATATACATTTTAAAGTGTTGTATGAACCTGATTTATCATTTTGAACTTGGCCTCTTTCTTGTCTAGTAATGTTTTTAGTCTAAAACTCTGCTTTATCTGATAGTAGTATAACTGCTTTTTTTTTTTTTTTTTTTAAAAATTCCCTTAGTCTCTGCTTATATGGAA